CTCTCTCTCTCTCTCTCTCTCTCTCTCTCTCTCTCTCTCTCTCTCCAGCCTTCCCAGTTAAATGGCTAGTCTTTTAAAGTTTCCATTCCCTCTTTTTTATTTAATATTTTATTTTCCCCCAATTACATGTAAAAACAATTTTTAACATTTGTTCTGCTTCTTAAAATTTTTAAGTTCCAAATTCTCCCCTTCCCTCTTTCCCTCCCTTCTCATTGAGGAGACAAGCAATTCATGTTTAATTTAATCCATTATACATGTGTAGTCATGAAAAACATATTTCCATGTTAGTCATGTTATGAAAGAAAACACAGACAACCCCAAGAAAAATAAATTAAGGAAAGAGTATGTTTCAATATGCATTCAGACTCCATTGTTCTTTTTCTGAAGGTGGATAGCATTTTTCATCATAAGTCCCTCAGAATTGTCTTGGATTATTATATTGCTGAGACTAGCTAAGTCATTTCTAGCTGATCATTATGCTATATTGCTGTTACAGTATAAAATGTTCTCCCGGTTCTGCTCATTTCACTTTGCATCAGTTCATGTATGTCCTTCCATGTTTTTCTGAGAGCATCCTGTTCATTATTTCTTATAGCACAATAGTATTCCATCACAATCATATATAAGCACTTGCTCATCCATGTCTCAGTTGATGGATATCCCCTCAATTTCCAATTTTTTACCACCACAAAAAGAGCTGATATAAATATTTTTGTACATGTAGGTCCTTTTCCTTTTCCTTTGATTTCTTTGGGATACAAACCCAGTAGTAGTATTGCTGGGTCAAAGGGTATAGACCTTTGGGCATAGTTCCAAATTGATCTACAGATTAAGTCAGTATACAACTTCACCAACAGTGCTTTAGTATCCCAATTTTTCCACATCCCCTCCAATATTTGTCCTTTGAATCTTCTGTCACATTAGCCAATTTGATAGCTGTGGGGTAGCAGCTCAGAGCTGTTTTGATTTGAATTTCTCTAATCAATTGTGATTTAGAGCATTTTTATATGACTACAGATAGCTCTGATCACTTCATCTAAAAACTGTCTGCTCATATCCTTTGGTCATTTATCACTTGAGGAGTGACTCATTTCTATAAATTTGACTCAGTTCTCTATATGCTTGAGAAATGAGGTTTTTGTCAGAGAAATTTGCTACATCCCCCCCCACAGTTATGATTATTATGTTTTCCTCCATCCTATTTACCCCCTGCTTATCCTGCTCTCTCTCTCTCCTTTGACACTGTCTATTCTCAGAAGTGTTTTGCTTCTGAATTTTACCTCCCTTACTCCACCCTCTTTCCCTTATCCCCTTCTCCTCCTACATTCCTGAATGGTAAGATATATTTCTTTGCCCAACTAAGTGTGTATATTATTTCTTCTTTAAGGCAATTCCAATGAAAATAAAGTTAATGTGCTCCCTCCCACACCACCTGTCTTCCACTCCACTGTGAAAGTGCTTTCGTACCCTTTTATATTAGTTTACCCCATTCTACCTCTCAGTTTCCCCTGCAGAAAAAACCAGAAGCTTGGGACAGTGCCCCCTCCATTACAGAAGCCAAGAAATACGGAAATTATAAAAGTCAAGAAATAGTCTGGAAAATGAGCAAAGAGTAGAAAAAGAACCTGACTAGGAAGTACTATGATGACAGGAAAGATCAAAACACAAACTCAGAAGACAATAAAGTCAAAAGTGCTACATCCAAAGCTTCAAAGAAAAATAGGAATTGGAAGAGTTTCAAAAAGGATTTTTAAAATCAAGGAAGAGAGGTAGAAGAAGAATTGGGAAAAGAAATGAAACATGAGAAATGAAATGCAAGAAAATTATGAAAAAAAGGACCATTATATTTAGATAAATAATCAGTCAGGAACTTTATTTGGCTGCAAGAAGTTAATTTCTCCTGTTTCTTCTGCCACATCATAATTTAGGTTAGTTTGGTAGACTGGATATTTCTTTCTCTGTTATAAACTATCAATCTTTATACACATATACCTAAGTTGGTTAATGGTTTTCCACAGTTATCAAACTAGCAGCCTGAACTAGATTAAAATGTAATTGGGAAATATTTAACAAAATAAATAAAAATACAACACAACATTAATAATGTTAATTTGTGGTTTCTATTTACAGTGTCTCCTTAACCACAGCAATACCTCTTTAAAGAGCTTTCTATGCTTATTAGGAAGCAAGTTGGATTTTATTGTCAGAGTTGCTGTTTCAATGTAGCAGTTTCCTTTCAAATATCTTTCAATAGTTCTTTTGTATTATTGTATTGTATTTTGTATTTGTTTCAGACTTCTACTGTCTCTTTATATCTACTACATGAACATCTTGATTTCTTATATAAAAGCATTACCATACCTTTGCTTTACCTCATTTTGCAATTTTTGATACATACAACAAACATATAGTGCTGGAGTGATTTCATCCTTGACATCTCTGCAGCCTTTGACGTGGTTGATTATCTTTTCTTTGAAGCTATCTTCTCTTCAGTTTTTTGTTTGTTTGTTTAGAGCCATTTTTTTTACAGGTATTTGGAGGGGTTTGGGGGAGAGCTCAAGCAAGTCACTGCTTTTACTCTGCCATCTTGGCTCTGCCCCTCTTTGTGTGTGTGTGTGTGTGTGTGTGTGTGAGACAATGCTCTTCCCTAGCTCTCTTATCTGACTGACATCATTCTCCTTCTCCTTTGCTGGACCTGTGGATATCTCCCAAAGCTCTGTCCTTGGCCCTCATATCTTCTCCCAATGTGCTATTTCCTTAGGTCATCTTATCAACTCCCTTGCATTCAATTGTCATATCTATTCGGATGGTTCTCAAACCTATTTATTTATCTCTAACATCTCTCCTGACCTTCATTCTTGCATTTCTAACTGCCTGTTGGACACCTCAAACTTGATGTCTTATTGACATCTTGAACTCAACGTCTCTAAAACTAAACTAATGATCTCCCACTCAACCCTCTTCTCTTGCTACTAATTTCCCTGGTAACACTGTCCTCCCAATCATGCAGTTAGGTGTTATTTTCAACTCCTTACTCCCTCTCATACCCCATATCCAATCTTTGCCAAGTTTTGTTGGTTTTTATCTATGCCGTATTTCTTGTATATGCCCTCTTCTTTCTTCTGACACTACTACTACCTTGGTATAGGCCCTTATCACCTCACACTTAGACTATAGCAATAGCCTGCTTATTGTTCTCTGTGCCTCTTTCCCACTCTTAACAATTCTCCATTCAGTTGTAAAAGTGATCCTTCTAAAGTGCAGATATGACCGTGTCACCACCATCATTCTCCAATGAACTCCAGTGGCTCCCTGTTAGCTCCAGGATCAAATATAAAATCATTTGTTCAGCTTTTAATGCTCATCATAACTTGACTCCTTCCTACTCTTCTTACATCTTACTTTCATCTTTGTCCTATATGTTCCAGTGAAACTGGCTTCCTTTCTGTTCCCTGCACAAAAATCTTCACATGTCTTCTCCATGCCTTTGTACTGGCTATCTCCTCAGCTTGAAAATGCACTCCCTCCTTGTCTCTGATTCTTAGAATCCTTAATTTCCTTCAACCACCACTATCTATAGGAAACCTGTTTTGATCAACCAAGCTATTAATGCATTCTCTCTCAAAAAAAATTACCTTGTGTATACTAATGAATGTACAGATCACCTTTCCTAATAAACTTTTTTTCAGGGTAAGGACTATTTTATTTTTTCTTTCAATCTCAGAGCTCTAGCATAGTGCATGGCACATAAAAGGTGCTTGATAAATGCTTATTAATTCATTGACTTAACTGTCACTAGGGGAGGATTTGAACCAAGTTCTTCTTGAAACCCAGTCCAGAACTCTATCCAGCAGTACAGCTTTTCTCTGTTGGCCAAGATAAAATTTCTGTATTATCTATGGCTTTTAATTAGTCAAGCACTGTAATCAAGAATAGAAAAGCTTGATATTTAAACAGAGAACTGTGACAGTTTCCCAGTGGGAAGGCTTAACTTGTCTTCCAAAGACTCTTCTCCAGTATTATTTATGCATATACATATGCATGTCATTTTTATTCAAACCAATCTCTATAGCAACCATTTGTATCACTTGAAACTTACTCAGATAAATGTCTCTGAATAGAAACTCTTATGTGTTGATATGCTCAGAGAGAAAGGACATGGGAACCTTTCCTCTCATTCTGCAAGAAACCTCAACTTTTATAGTAATATATTTTGAGTCCTAAAAATTAAAATAACTCATAAAATGTAGACAGGAATTCATGCTACATCAAGGGAGAAGGAAATGTCAGTAATTCATGGTGTGAAGAGGAGTCTAAACAAACAAAATCTTTGTTAGTACATTGATACATATAAAGACCTTTTTTTTTTTGCTTGGCTTGTAAATAGGAAACTTGATACCTTTTTGATGGTTTTATTAGCAAGCAGAATCAATGTTAAGTTTCAATGCTTAGGAGAAAGCTCTATCAGTTTCACTTCTTAGGAGAAGGCTATATCGGGCATTGACCAAACATTGGCTTACTTCACCTATGTAGATTGAAAACGTAAGTGATCACACACTGTTAACACAGTCATTTTGTTAGTCATGTTTATGACGAGGTAGAAATCGAGAAATGCCTATGATGAAAATAGCAAAAGGCATTGTTAATATAGATATATGGGTGCACATATCTGTTTATATTATTTTCTGCCCTGCATCACCAGCAAGATTGGAGTCCTCAGAAGAAATGGGGTCATGCAAGAGACATTTGACTTAGCCACATTTGATTGGATCAGTTCAAACTTGGCCTCAACCTTTCATACTTTGGAAATGGCTTCAGAAAGTCATGGTGGAGTCAGTGACTGACAATGAGCCATGTCTGATTTAATTCTATGTTAATATATAAGCAAATAGGTCAGTCTCAGTTGTGTTAGGTAGCTATTGAACTTTGTAAAGACTCTATTGATCACCAAAAATGATAAATTTGTTTCCATTTATATCTTAATCTTCTGCTTGTCACAGGAGCACGATGGACTCAATGTTGCTCACTTCCCTCCCAATGCCTGTGAACCCATCTCAAAGTGTGGGGACTTAGATGTTATCTTTGAATATAATCTTTCCAGCCAAAAGCTCGCAGTGACCATCGTAAAGGCCCAGAACATTCCAGATAAAGATCGAAGCGGTGCCAATGCGTGGCAAGTTCACACTGTACTGCTTCCCAGAAAGAAGCAAAGGGATAAGACTAGTGTTCAAAGAGGGCCCACACCAATCTTCAAAGAGAAAGTATTCTTTAGTAAACTGGAGCCTGAAGATTTGGGGGGCTATGCAGTCAGATTCCGTCTATATGCTGTACTCAAGATGAACCGAGAGAAGATGATGGGAGAAAAGCTGTTTCACCTCAGCCAGTTGCGCCAAGAGGGGAAAATGAAAGTGACTTTGGTTTTGGAGCCAAGGAGTAATATGAGTGTAAGTATTTACGGTGGTGTTACCCAATTTAAAGTATTTTACTGGAGGGATGAGAGTTGCTAACTATTGATTTATCTGTTCAGTCAGATACATCAGAATTCAATAGACCTTTCTATCTAATTTTCTGTTGGGTCTTCACAGGTGATCATTTTGTAAGCCATTAATTTTGCTTATGGTACAGGGGATCTTTATGCTCACCTTCACATTAACTTGATAGATTTATTCACTTTTTGTTCATTTTAGGAAGTGAAAACAATAGTTGGAATAGGGTAGGGATGGAAGGGCAAGACATCAGCACATAAGGAGAGTAAACTGCCTTTGAGGTTCACTGATGATTGAAATTTTCCCTAGAAAAAAATTAAAACACCAGACTTTCAGAAAGTGGAGTGCAGCATGTACATCTGAGGCAGGGTCATCAAGCTAGACAACCTGACACTCCAGGTGAGGCTGCACACCCTCTGACCCTGGGGCTTATTCCATCAAATAAAGTGTTTGTGTGTCCTTCTCCTGGTATTCTTTTTTTCCTGTGTCAGGTTTTCAGAAAAGAACCACTTGTGTCTGCAAGTTGAAAAGTTAGCTCCAGCACTAGATATTTGCATCTATATATGAGACCCTCCGTTTTATAAAGTTGGCTGTTTGAAAATGGCTGTTAGATCATGCACGTTTTCCTCTTACCATGAGTCCTTGGAGCAAAGAATGGAGCTAAGACCTTAAAGACCAAATTCTTAGCTCTCTTGATGGAACAATATAAATATATTATTAATTGCTTGTAATTATTGTTGCTGAAAGGGAGGGAGGAATGCATTTCATTAAATTTCTGTACTTTCAGGAATTGGGCAATTTGCATCCTAATATCCAACTTTTAAGTGTGAAAGATGGGTAGGCATTAAAGTAGAGAATTACTTGAGATGTTTTACATCAGGTTGTATAGTGCAGCCTATTACTATAATAATTTATTTTGTAATAGTCACAATGTTAATATCATATCACCCAGGAAGGAGGCAGGAGTGGGTAGGAGAAGGTATAGAGAATGTTAGATTCATGAGTCAAGAAATATAAAGACAGAGTTTAAGTCAGGTGGGATATCACTGAATCCCAAATCTAGTGTTTATTTAGCGGTAGATATGGAAGAAGAAGCTAGGAAATATATTCCTATTGAGTGTGGACTATATGGGAAGTAATAAAAAGCAAAAATCACAAATAGATAGAGGAGCTGTCCCCTCCCCTTTCAGAGCAATTGCTCTCATTAATTATTAATCAGAGCTGGAAGGAACATTACAGATCATCTTTTCCTTCAAATTCCATCATTTCACTTATGAGGAAAATAGATCTAAAGAGGTGAAGTAATATATAAGAAAGAGCAGGAGAGTTTTTTCCCTCCATCTTTCCAGACTGTTTGGTGTACAAAGTGGATAGTGAATGCATGTTGATTGAATAAATGTTGTTGGTAAGTCGATGTTCTTTTTTCAGACATTTTAAACATCAACTTGCTTAGTAAAAACATACATTTAAATTAATTATTTCAGCAGTTAACAAATCATACCAGTATTTCACTCATTCCAATTCATCATCAGAATTCTTTATTTATTCAATCTCACTTATTTTTTCCTCAGTTCAGCTTATCTGTTTATTCCGTCTTTCAGTTCAAATGACTTTGTTTTGCATTATTTCATAAAGATCTTTCTAAATTTCATTGTTTTATTCACGTATTTTAATTGCATCTTGTGTTCTATTAATATGATAGTGGATGGGATGAGATTAGTGCTTTAATTGGTATAGGGAACCCCCAATATGGATAATTTCCCTTGCTGATAAATATTGGCAGCTGCTTTGTAACTTTTTGTCTTAGAGAGTTTATTGGAGTGTTGAGAAGTTTAAAAACAAAAACAAACAAAGAAACTTACCTAAGGTCGTATGGTGAGTATGTGTCAGACATGGGACTTGAACTTATCTTGTGAGACCAGCTATCTATTCACTACACCACACTGCCTCTTTACATCAGCATACCACAATTTATTTAGCCATTCCCTATTGTTGGGTATTGAGGTTTCTTCCCCCCCCTTTTTTTTTACAGTGATGTAGAATAGCTTGCTTTTCTTTTTTAGGCCCATCTTGGACTTATAGGATCATAGGATTTAGAGCTGGATTGGGACTTCAATACAATCTAATCCAAAACTTTCATTTTACAGATGAGCAAACTGAGGCAAGTAGAGGTGAATGATTTTTCCAAGTTCACACAGGTACTAAATAACATATCTAGGATTTGAATCATGGCATTTTGATTCTAAATCTAGTGACCAAGAGACATTGGACAGGTCAATTCAACTCTATGGTCTTTACTTTCCTCATCTGTAAAATAAGCTATATTATCCTTTGAAGCAGCTAGACAGCTCAGAGGATAGAGTGCTAGGCCTGGAGTCAGGAAGACCTGAGTTCAACTGGCCTCAGACACTTAATAGTTGTGTGACCCTGTGCAAGTCACTTAACTTCTCAGTGTGCTAGGCAACAGGGAATAAGCATTTATGTACTAGGCACTGTGCTAAGTTAACTCTTTACAAATATTATCTCATTTGATCTTCACAACCCTATCAGGTAGGTGCTGTTATTATTCCCATTTTACAGTTGCTTTACAGTTTACAGTTACAGTTGCAGCTGAGGAAATTCAGGCAAATAGATTAAGTGATTTGCCCAGCATCACATAGCTAGTAAAAGTCTGAAGTGGGATTTGAACTCAGGTCTTCCTGACTCTGGGCCCAGCACTCTATCCATTGGGCCACCTAGCTACCTCCTAAATCTGTATGTTACAAAGAGTTGCCTAATTCATCAGTGGAGAAAGTTTCTACCCTGGAAGTAGTCCATGTGAATGAAAGGAAAGGTTAGATCACCCCCTCACTTTTCTACTGCCAAAGATGCTATAGTGCATAACCTCATATTGACTTATCTCTAAAATGTGTGAGAATCTGTTCAATGAATTATAGAATTTCATTTTTATCTATTTTCCTGGGGAAAGGGAGAGGAGATAACAGATACAATTTACAACCTTCCAAAAACTTCAAAAAAAAAAAGAGAGATCCCATGTTTTCTATACTATAATATAGCTTTCCAAAATCATGACCTCATGCTTTGCTATATTCATTAAGAAATAACAGGGAACAGAGAGGAAGTGCTAGAATAGATAAATTCTGTTGAAATGTTCAAGTAGAAATTACTCTAAGGGGAATTTTGGTCTATATCAAATGCATTATTATCTCTGTGTGTATATTCAAGGTTTTGATTTACATTGGTAATAACATCTTTGGCCTTTTGTTTTCAGAGAGGAAATATTGAACAGAGACAGATCTTTAAACGAATGTGTCTGGCTAATGATGTGGAGACCTTATTCTCGATTTTGTCCTCCTGCCCCATTATTATTCACATAGAGTGCACAATTTGAAATCTTTGGCAGCCATTGAAATCATGTCACAATTTCACCCAACGTAATGTAAGCTGGATAGAAAAGAGAGTAGTGTGAAGTGTCCCAATGGTTTCTTTGTTGTTCTTTCCTGCCAGAGTGGAGAGTCTCAGCTCAGCCTGTCTGCGGTTTCTCACAGTGGTAGTGCTTCATCCACACAGTCTTTGTCTCATGGAGGGGTGCCAGAGCTCTTGGTGGGGTTGTCATATAATGCCACAACGGGACGATTATCTGTAGAAATTATCAAAGGCAGCCATTTCCGAAACCTTGCTATTAACAGACCTCCTGGTAAGTGAAATTCTGTTCTGCCAGCAACAGTACTTACAGAGACCGGTTGAAGCCATACCTACCTTTATCTTATTTTTGTAATTTTTATTCTAAGAAAGGTCTTAATGGGGTTTAGATGGGTTTTTCAATGCCTCTCAGTTTAACTAGATAGAAACTCTTTCACAATACAAGGATTTTCTGATACCCAATATGCTGAATCCTATTTTAATGCTTATGTTTTTATTTTTATGAATGAAAAAACTTCACATTTTCAGTAACATAATATGTAAACACAATTGAGATCTGTTAATAAGGCCAAGTAATTCATTTGTATTATCAGGAACCACTGAGCTGGAAGACATCTTACGAGTCTACTTTTTTTTTTTTAATTCCCTCATCACTAGAAAAGATACCACTAAATAACCAATGTGATATAGTTAAAAAAAAAAAACCCAAAACAAAAAAAACTGGCCTAGGAGTCAGTGCAACTGACTCCTAGTCCCAGATTTTCTCTTCTGTGTCACCTTGGACAAATCTTTTATCCTTTCTCTATCTTAGTTTCTTCATTGTCAAGTAAGGAAGTTGGAAGATGCCTTGCATTTAATCCCTGATATATAGTGGTCTCTTCTACTCTTAACTTTTTGGAAACTTCTTGGTAGCCTATTATAGTATTTAATACTATTTCACTGTGTCAGTTTTACTTTATTAAAGGTAGCTAGGGATCAGTCTATATTATTTAATAATGATAGTGCCTTATTTATACTTGTATATTGGGTCCCAAAGCTGGTTCTCACTTGGATTGGCTCTAGAGCTGGCAAAGCCAGTTATTTGCAAGGGCATAGCCAATATTCAGTGATGACAAATATGCAAGTTCCCCTTCTAGTTCAATCAAGAAAAATCCTCCATGCTTAGTAATTGCTAATATTTATATACTGCTATCATAAGTGCTTTATAATTATTATCTCATTTGATCCTTACAACAACCCTGGGAAGTAAAGTGCTATTATTGTCTTTATTTTACAGTTGAAGAAATTGAGGTAAACAGAGGGTAAGTGACTTGTCTAGGGTCACATAGCTAGTAAGCATCTGAAGCTGGGTTTGAACTCAGGTATTCCTGACTCCAGACCCAATAATCTATCCACTGTGTCATTAAACTGCCTCAGGGAATTGGCATATCAATCGTCTTTCTATTTCCATCAGATAACTTCATACTTCATAAAAAAAAATAGTGCTCAAACACATCTTTACACATAATTCATTATTTGGCCCTTTCTTTAATTACCTTCCTGGGCTGGGGATTGATCAGAGGTCAACTCTACCATACTTAACATTTCTATTATTTCAATGTATTTTCTGCTATTTCCATTTGATCCATGGCCCTGACGTTGGCCAGCCAAGAAGTGAGAAGTCATTGCTTAGGTAATAAATAATGAAAGGAAATGGGAATAATGAGCAAGGCAGTGGACATGAGTAACCCATCCTTAACATCTAAATGTGTAAGGGACAGCACCCACATGACCAAAATCTACATTCATTTTTGGGCTTATGAGTAGTTACCATTTAACACTGCAGGAGATCACATTTTCTATATGTGATGGGATTTATTTTAGTCTATCTTTATTAAGCCCATTGGTTTTTAGGTGGGAGTTTGAAATTATAGCCCTCAATACATATTGCAAGGGAGAACCCCTGAGTTCTGGATAACAATAGTGCTTATGAGGCTTCCAGCCAGCACTGATGTCCAAAGCAGGCAAGATCATTACTTTGGATACATAATCATTGCTGTGTTTTTCTGCTTCTTAACTGTAGTTAATAACATTTATTTACTAGAGATGACTTTGTTTTTTAAATGAGTTTTGGGACACCTGATAACTGGATTTACATAGTTCTCTGCAAAGCTGCTATGAATCTTTTTCATAAACATTCCCCACCCATTTTGCTTGGTATATGAGCCATAGTTTAAGTGACTTAGCCAAGGTCACTCAAGGTCACTCAGCAAAGTAGCAGGCAGGCTTTTAGATCTAGGTCCTCTAATTCTAAAGGTAGTGTTCTTTCTACTGCTGCCTTTTGCTGAGGAAAAGGGGAAAGAAGGTGGTTTTGCATCTTGCCTATTCTCTAAGCTTCATATATATATATATATATATGATATAGTGAAGAGGCTCAAGTCTTCAAGGTCAGTTATTGTTAAGAAGTACTACTGAAGAAGCAGGGAAAAATACCTATCAGATGTATGGATAGGGGAAGAATTCATAACCCAATAAGAGACAGAGAGGTACCAGGAGATAAAATTAATAATTTGGATTATATAAAATTAAAATAAGTTTTTACAATGAACTGTTTCTGGTCTTAACAAAAGTAAAACCAAGGGGCTGCTAGGTGGTGCAGTGGATAGGCACTGGCCCTGGAGTCAGGAGGACCTGAGCTCAAATCTGGTCTCAGACTAGACACTTGATACTTACTAGTTGTGTGACCCTGGGCAAGTCACTTAACCCCAATTGCCTCATATAATGAAAACAAAGCAAAATCAAAACACCGGTTTTAACAAAACTAATGCTGCTAAGATTAGAGGGAAAACAGGAAATTGGGAGAAAAAAATCTTGAGTTTAACTGATAGAAGTCTCATTTCTAAAATATATAAGGAACTGAATCAAATTTACAAGAATAGGAACCATTCTCCAAATGATGGTCAAAGGGTATGTTATTGTTTTTCTAGTCATTTCAAATGTACCCAACTCTTCGTGACCCCATTTGGGATTTTTATGGAAAGATACTGGAGTAGTTTGCTGTTTCCTTCCCAGCTCATTTTACAGATGTGGAAACCAAGGCATATAGCATTAAGTGACTTGCCCAGGGTCACTTAGCTAGTAAGTGTCTAAGGCTGGATTTGAATGAACTCCGATTTTCCTGACCTCAGGCCTGGTACTTCATCCACTGTACCACCCAGCTGCCCTTTAAAAGGATCTAAATAGACAGTTTTCAGAGGAAGAAATTAAAGTCATTAATAGCTATATGAAAATATATTCTAAATCACTAATAACTAGAGAAATCAAATTAAAACAACCCTGAGGTACTGTCTCACACCCATAAGATTGGCTAAGATGACAAAAAAAGGAAAACAGCAAATGCTGGAGGAGATGTAGGAAAACAGGTACACTTATGCACTGTTGGTGGAGCTGTGGTCTAATCCAACCATGCTGGAAAGCAATTTGGAATTTAATAGGCCCAAAAGCCTATTAAACAATGACTTGGTAATATCACTAACAAGGCTATACCACAAGGAGGGCAAGGAAAGAGGGAAAGGACTGATATGCACAAAAATTTTTATAGCTGCTCTTTTTTTTGTGGTGCATAAAACTGAAAACTGAAGGCACACCCATCAATTGGGGAATGGCTGAACAAGTTGTGGTATATGAATGTAATGGAATACTACTGTGCTGTAATAAATAATGAAAAGGTTGGTTTCAGAAATACATGGGAAGACCCATACGAACTGACGCAAAGTGAAGTGAGCAGAATAGTCTACATAGTAACAGCAAAAATATAAAGGTAATCAACTTTGAAAGAGTTTGTAGCTTTTACAGACACAATGACCCACCACAGTTTTAAAGTACTTATGATGAAACATGCTATCCATCTCCAGACAAAGAACTCATGGTTAATGCTATCAGTAGAAATTTTCAGCTATACATATTTGTATTAAATTTTGTTATTCTTGGTTTTTCATTGTTAGGGGCAGGGGTAGGGAGAGGGAAATTAAAAAAATAAAAAGTCCCTGTGCTTTAAAAGACATAAATAAATTTAAAAATTAAAAAAAAGAAGGGAGAAGAGAGTTTTGTTGATCATTTAAGGCTTAAAAATCCATTCTTCATTTTCTGTCAGGTTAATAAAACATCTACTAAGAATAAAAAAAGAAGTACCACTGAGGAAGTAGTTCACAGGACTAGGCCCCTGATATGGATTTAAATATTTTTATACACCCCTATGATGGAAAAAAAAATATGAATTAAAAAATGGGTCAATTTGGCAGTCTCTTGAGCCAGGCTTCATGGGAGAACATTTAGTTCCCTGACAAGTTAGCAGCTGTAAAGTTCTAATCTAGCCTTTCAATTGTGATATGGCCCTGGTAATTTAGTTTACCCCCTTGGGTTTGGATTCCTCCCTTGTTAAACTAACATAGCACCTCAGGGCTAAGAATGCTGGCACTCTTGGAAAATGTAGATGGTTAATCTTCGACCAAGTTATCTCATGCCTGATCCAAGCACGCTTCTACTCCGTGTGATTATATTGTTCACATAAATATAACTTGTCAAAAACTAACATTAAGATGTCCCCTCCAGTTAAAAACAACAACTTACCCAGCTTCTCAGCATGTGCATGATTAACCATACATGATAATTATATCCCAAATGATAATACTTAGAGCAGCAGCATATTAACCTCGTTAGACACACACAATGGCAGTAACTTTAGGAAAGACAAAGAGAAAAGCAAATTAGGTTGCCTAGTGTAAGGAGTGAAGATCAGCAGCTAATGCAGAAGGGAGTTAGCCTAGAATCTCACGATCTCTTTTAGATTTGGAAGAGGCCCTCAAGAGCATATCAACGGTTTAACCCTTTCATTTTGTAAATAGAGATTGGAGCCCAGAGAAGTGAAAATAACTGCTTTAGGTCAGCAACCAGTAAGTACTAGTCTTTTTTTCTATACTGCCTCTCAAATGACATAGGAAGGGAGAAAAATCTTTGCTACTTCCCCTTACCCAAATCCCCATTATCTTTTGGCTGAAATGTTTGGATTATAAAGCAAAACTTCGATTCTGGGAACACAAGTAACTCAATTAACCAAATTATCTGCCACGTCCCTTCCATTTCTTTTGACTTTAAGGAAAATGAGAGAAATGACAAGAAAATAAGCTCCCACTTGGATTTAGCAGCAACAGCACAGGGGTATGCTAGAGCCATCTTGATTGGCTCATGAGAGCTGAATGTTAAATTTATAGTGTGACAGCATTTATACCTCACATG